GGAGGGGGCAGGGGCATGTGCTGCCTTGGCGAAGGCGGCAACGTCTAGTGCAGCCACGGCTTTTCCCGGCACATGGGTAGATGCAGGGTGTTGAGCCTGGGCTGTGCTGGGTGGCTAACGTTGCCCTGTGCAGATCTGGGGGGCACACGCCACCCCTCCCCACATCCCTGGGGTACAAGCTCTGGCGAGAGCTGCCCCCAACGAGTCGCAGCTTTATGCCATGCCGTGCCCGCCCAACCCCTACTCCCCCGCTAGGCAGTGCCTGCCCCTGCCCTCTCTCTTACCATGGGGTTGTTGATCTGCCCCATCATGCTTCTTCTCTCCCCTTCCACCACACCAGACTTACCAGCTGGAGGCAGTGCTCCACACTGCTGCCTGTGTTCCTCACTGCCTGAGTGCTGCGCTCTGTGCAGCGCAGGCATTTATCGGCAAAATTATTGGCCCCATTGAGCTGATGTCCAGTGCAGCCAGTTTTCTTTATTGGCTTGTGTACAGCCTGCAGAGGGGCACTGCTGCCCTTGCGCCCTCCTCTCTTCCCCCCTTGGCACAGATGCACCCCCCCCCTCCATTCTTGATAACCATCTCCTTATGGTTAAGAGGAAGAGGGGAGGAAGATGATGTTTTTGTAGATCTATAACAGGTTTTAGAAATTTTATTTTGTCTCTCAACGCATTGTCAAATGAGAAATGCACCCTGTTTTTGAAAGCAAAATAAAGAAAGAACTTTCCTTGAAAATACTGGTAAGTATGATATTTTCCCAGGGAAAATGCAGGCAGTTGCACTAAGGGTGAATCAAAACATTGTGATTGCTCTAACCCTTTTAGCTGTTAGACCAGGGGTGGGCAAAATACAGCCCACAGGCCACATGTAGCATGCCAAGGGGTTTGCGTGGTGTGGTGGACGGACTCATTTCCTGGCAGCCGTGGCTGGCTGCAGTGATTCCTTCTGGTTGCCTCTGCTGCTGGACCCAGCATCCTAGCTCATTTGTCCCTCACCTGCTGCTGCGGGTGGGGACCCATGCAGGCAGGGCACATGGCTGAGCAGATGGGATGGGACCGTGGGTGGGTAGGGAGTGGTGTTCAGTAGCAGGACAGGTGGGCCTGGGGTCAGGGCTGGGATTGTAGAGCAGTGACAGTGCAGGGCTGGGGCCCAGGGGAGAGTTTTAATCCATTGCCTGCCTGTCCCTGCAATGGGCACTGGTTCTGTGGGCAGGGGCATGCTGGGAGTGGATCGCAGCTCTGGCCCTGGCCTTGACCTTGGCCTCAGCCCTGCACTGTCACTGCGTCAAGATCCTGGACCTGGCCACGTTCCCTGCCTGCATTGGTCCTAGCTGGTCTCTATAGAGACCATGGCATTGCAGGGCGGTGACAGCACAGGGCTGGGGCCTGGAGCAGAGCCGCAGTGTACTCCCTGCATGCCCCTGCCCATGGAACCAGTGCCTGTTGCAGGGGCATGCACGCAGCAGATCATGGCTCAGCCCTGGCCCATGCTGTCATGGCCCTAACTGCCCATTCTACTCCTGGATGCTGCTTCGTATCCACCCACAGCCTCATCCCAGCCCAGTACAGAACAGAGCCACATACAGAGTTTTGGTGAGCTGTTAGGGGGTGAGGGAATGGGGCTGCTAACCTGGCCCATGACAGCTCATGAAAATTCCTTAAGTGGTCTTCCAGCCCAAATAATTGCCCACCCCTTTGTTAGACACTGCAGGTGCTTCTGGCTGAGGCACCATACCTTCTTGTTTAAAATGCGCATCCCCAATTCCAGCAGCTGATTTTTGGGGAAAAAGGTGTATTTTATTTGTGAGAGACAACAGTACTTGTATTCTCTCAGCACAGACACCTAGGGTGAAAAGAGTGGTGGAAACAGGGAAGGTGTTATAAGAGACCAGTTATTCCTGTTTTCAGAAAAGAGATGTTAGGTTTGTCTGTAAGGATAGGTCTAGACCAAGAGTGCATAAACTCCAGCCATTGGGCCAAGTGCAGCCCTGCAGAGCCTTGGAATCTGGTGTGCAGGGCTCCTGAAGTGTCAGGAAATTTGGCAGCAGAGCATATACTGCCACCCATCTCCACTGCCAGAACCCCAAGCCCTGTGAAGTGGGTTGGAGCAGGACCATGTCCCCACTCCCCTTGCACATCCAGGTTAGAAGCCTAGCCATGCCCCCTTCCATCTGTATAGCTGGGTTGGGCCTGGGCCATGCTATCACCCCTTGCATGGCTGGTTTGGGACTGGGCCACCCCCACCAGGGCTGGATCACACCTCCTTCTCCTGCACAGCTGGAAGGGGTCTGAGCTGCCCCTGCCCCTCTCCATGCAGCTGGGTGGGTCCCTTCTGCACCTTGGCCTTAGCGCCTGGTTGGGTTCACTGGCCAGATTTGGCCTGCAGAGGGACCAGGCACTGGCTGGTCAGCCTTCTGAACAAAACGGTTAAGCACCACTGCTCTAGCATGAGAAGAGCTTTAGGTTTGCATCTACTATAACTGTTACCCCTGGTGGAAAAACTGGTACAGACAAGCTATATTTGCATTATCCTATAACAAACCTCAGTGTTCAAGTGGTCCAGGATTATGTGACATGGTGGTAAACGTGCTGGAGTCCTCTCTGTATTTGAGCTTCCATTCTTGCTACTGCCATTGGAAGCTGCAGTCGTGGACAATTCATGTATGGCAAATAAGAGAACTGTTTGTGTTTACGTTTAGAGATTTTAGTCCTCATTTTGGATTTTGCGTAGGCCTGAAAAACCCCAAAACAAAAGCCCTGCTTTGAGATTGTAGGCACACAAACTTTTAAAATACTATGTTATTTAAGTCTAAACCATTTTAAATAACTCCTGTGTTCAGAACCTCCAATAGATTTCAGAATAAATTTGTTGTGAAAAGACTTCCCTTCTTCCCTCCCCTTCCTTTCCCTCCCCCCAATTAATAACTTATTTTTGGACAGCTTAGTTTAACATCTAGTCATTGACTAGAAAACAACATAATGTGTTAGTATTCCAAATCTTTCTATTTTAGTCCTATTTGACTGTTATTGCATGTCTATATTTGGTATCTGTGTCCAACATGCAGGTCTCATCTGGCAGAATAAAAGCCCATTGTCATTGTTGCTTCGGTAATGAATGATAATGAAAACTATGTCTGAATAAATGATTAATATCTATATTGCTAAAACTTGTCAGTATAATGCACCAGTGCATGTATTACAAGAATAAAATGCTTAGTGTTAGTGTGATTAATGCTGTGCATTGTTTATGTAAAGGACACTTTGTGACTGCAGATAAAAGGTGTCATGTGCTGCAGAATTCATTAGCATCAGGCCTAAGATGTCTGTATGTTTCAGCTAATGTGGTAATTCATCATTGGTAATTCCTAGTTTCACATTATGCCCCATCAATATCTGTGTTAGTTGAAGAGATGTAGCTACTTTGGTTTATTATTTTTGTGTACAGGACTTGAGTATTAAAGTGAACATACCATGATGCTCACATAATTTATTTACACATTAAATAGAGAGTGCCTTACTCAAAAGTAGTAACTAAAATGTAGCTGAAAGAGGAAATTGAAGGAAGTGAAAATCTAAAATTTCAGTTGGAGACAGGAACACTGTTGCAATTCCAACCCATTTTGCTCAGGACAGCAGCATAATTTATACTAGGAATTTAAAATGAGAACATGTTTGTTTAACCCTCCCAATTGAGGGGAAAGAACCTTAAAAACATGAATAAAACATTGTTTTGGGCTGCATCGACTTATTTGAACTGCCCCACTCATCTTAATGGCTTGTAAATTTTGGAACCTGTCAATCTAAATGTCTGGTCATCTTAGAAAAAATATCCAGCAAATATACAATTTATATGCTGTCCTTCCAAACAGGTGCTTTGGTATGCTTATCCCATTGTTGCAAATAGCTTTCAACCATCCATACCTCTTGTTTCTTCTCTGATAATTTCTAGAAGGCAGTTACATTTTACAAACAAATGGCATATTGCAGGAGTGGTCATTCTATGGTACAGGGCCACAAGTGTGTGGCACAAGTCAGTTCAGGGAGGATACAGGCAGGGCAGTGGTAGGTAGGGGAGGAAACAAAGCAAAGCAGCAAATTGGGTAGGGAGCACAAGGAAGAAGAACTCGGTGCAGCAGATAAGACGGGGAACACCAGACTGAAGCTAATGCCTGGCAGCGTTCTGGCCTGTTAATCTAAAATCATTTAAAACCTCATGCACTTGAACCAAGCCTCTCTCCTTGTAAACTATCTCAAATTAGCTGCACCCTAGTCTACTAAAGCCACTGAGGTGACTTTTACTCGACCTGGATTCTTGGTAACAAAGGAAGTGTGTGGTGACCAAGGGTTCAGGCTTTTTGCTTCCCACAGAAAAACAGAGTAAACCATGGATTTTGCCTTTTACCAGAGGCAAACGTGGATTTCTTATTTTACCAGAGAAGCCCGTGGATTTTGCCATTTTGCAATGAACTCCCTGCAGGCTGGCAGAGTTCCAGCCTGCAGAGAGCTAAGAGGGAGTGGGAGGAAGGCGGAAAGACAGGGGGCGCCACGTGCATAGAGATGCATGTGGCCCCAGACATCCTGCAGAGCAGCTCCAGCAGGTAAGTTGGGGAGGGAGAGGGGGATTGAGGCCCAGGTAGGGAGGGAGCTGGGCAGGGCTGGGGCTGCTACCCAGTTGGGTGGGGCTTGCGGCCCAGGGCCACAATGCGTGGCTGCACGGCCTCAGCCAGGAGCAGGATGGGGCCGCGGGCGACTCATCTGGCCCTCCCCCCCTCCCCCGAACTGACTCAGCAGGGAGCGGAGGAGCTGTGCAGAAAACCTCTTCACCGCTTCTCTTCCACCCTCCTACTGCCCCAGCGAGGTGTCTCCTGTGCGTTGGGCTGCAGTGAGGGCAGCAGTGCAGGGCTACACCTCCCCAAAGCAGTGGCAGGCGCTAGAGGTGTATCGCCAGAGCAGTGGGGTGGGGGCAGCTCACACTGGTGAGGAATTCCCATATGGCCCCGCTCTCCCCAGCCACATCAGCTCATGCCCACCAGCTACAGAGACCCCCAGGGAAGGGAAGCAGGGCAGGAGCTCAAGCCCGCAGCCTGCAGCTGACCTGGGTACAGATCTGGGGACCGTGGGTCCACCCTGCCCCCTGGGAGTGCATGCAGCAGCAGAGAACTGGCCTTCCCCCTCCCCTGGACGAGCCACCCATGGCCCCATCCTGCTCTCCCCTGGGACCCTGCAGCCATGCATTGCATCCCCAAACCCCACCCGGCTGGGCAACAGCCTCAGCCTGTGCCTGCCCCAGGTACAGATCTGGGGGGCAAGGATCTCCTGTGACCCTGGGGGTGCATGCAGCAGCGGGGATCTGCGCACCTGGGTTTGTAATCCCTGGCAGCGGGGGGCTCCCCTCTGGCAGGGTTGGGGGAGCAGGGGCTGTGTGGGGGGCAAGGGGCACCAGCAAGACTGTGTGGGGGCGCGAGGGGCACCAGTGGGGCTGTGGGGAGCCTTTAATTTTAATCATGGATTTTGGGCGTTTTAGTAGAGAATTTGTGGGGCGGTTTATCAGGGAAAACCTGGATCCCTGGTGGTGACTTACCGCCACGTTTCACTTAGTGCTGTTTCAGTGGTGCCAGCCCAAGATGCAGCATCTTGTCAGCAGTGTGACCTTTACCAAAACTTAATCTGGAGAGTTGCATCAGGACTGATGCAAAGAAAAGTATCTGAAATTTTAGACTTTAAAGATAACTTCTGAAACTATTGCAATTTTTTTAACCCAAACCAGTGAATAGGGGTCTGGAGTGTGAAGCCTTTTAACAATATGCTCTTTGTTCCATTGAGCTAATATTGAACCACTTTATTTTAATGTTTAACATTCACATCTACCAGTTGTGATTTCAGGCAAAATAAAATGAGTTCTTAGAGAAGGTGTATTGACCTGCCTAAAAGATACAAATAGCACCTTTGATTACTGAATCTGAATTCTATAAAACACACACACAAATGTTTGGAATGGGCATCATTTTGAAATGTCAGTGACGCCCAATGTCTGCTTCAACTGACAGCCAAGTCATTGCACTTTGCTAAAGACGTTAGAATTTTTTCTAACTGGATATGTCTGCTATTTCTAGGTACCCCAGGTATCATCTCCTCACCATATGCAGGGGCTGCTGGATTTGCCCCAGCCATTGGTTTTCCTCAAGCTGCAGGTAAGTCCCCTTTTCTTTGTTAAATTTGAAGCTCATCTGCAGTTCTCTTGGAATACAATAGTTTAACGAGATAATTCCTAAGAGGCATTCTGTTTACTTCTAGCAAGACTTAGAACTGCTGTTTAAAATACTACAGTTCCATACTTTGTTTAAAACTTGCAATGCTTTGTGTTCCTTGCTTCTGAATTACGAAGACTTGTTTAAAAAGAGCTAGCTGAAAATTATCGTAGGATCAGTCAGATAGGTCTGGAAGGGACCTCATGAGGTAATCTAGTCCAGCCACCAGCTCAAGACAGGATCATCCCCAACCAAACCATCCTGGCCAAGTGCCTGTCCAACCTGCTCTTGAAAATTTCCAAGGATGGAGATTGCACCATTTCTCCAATGCTTGTCCAACCTCAAAATTGGAAAGTTCCTCCTCATCCCCAAGCTAAACTTCCTCTGCAGCAGTTGAGACCATTGTTCCTAGTTGTGTCCGTACAGCTGCGGAGAAAAGCCCATCTCTGTGTTCTCTATAATCACTCTTCAGTTATTTAAGGACTATCATCAACTGCCCCTTCAATCTTCTCTTCTCCAGATTAAATAACCCTAGTTCTTTCAGCCCTTCCTCATGAGTCATACTTCCCATGCCTCTAATAATTTTTGTCACTTGCTGGTGGACTCTTTGCAATCTGTCTACATCCTTCTTCAAGTGTGGGACACGCCCACTATTCTTGTCAAGGCCTTGCCAGCGCTGAATAGAGCAGAAGAATGCTTTTCCCTTGATTTGTACGTAGCACTGTTGTTGATGCAGCGCAGTCTGTTGCTGGCTAATGTTTCAGATTATGGTCTACTGCAGGCGTGGTTAGACTCCAGCCCATGGACAAAATGCGGCCTGCAGAGCCATCTCATCTGGCCTTCAGGGATCTCCGTAGGTCAGGAAGTTTTGATGGCAGACAAGTAGTGGCCATTAATACAGCCACTGTTCCCCGCTGCCAAACTCCCAAACCCAAGCCCTGCATGTGGCTCCTCCCCCCCAAGGGGCTAGGTTGGGGCACCCCCTCCCCAAATAATGGGGCTGGGCCATGCCCCCTACTTCCCTCCCTGCCTGGGGAGCTGGATCAAGCTTCTTTCCCCTGTGGGAAATTTGTTACGCATGCACTCAGTCATGTGATGCAAATCAGTTGTGATTTATATATAATTTTGAATATTTGCAGATACTGTATC